AACTCACTTGGTAGCCCAGGCTGGCCTCGAACTCACAGAGATCCGCCTGCCTCTGCCTCCCGAGTGCTGGGATTAAAGGCGTGCGCCACCACCACCCAGCTGTCATTTTCCACTCTTAATGTCATGGTGCCACATGTTTGTTCTTGTCTTCAGAACAAACAGCATCTCCCCCATCAGCATCTTCAGTAACAAAACACTATCCCTTGTGGTATAATTCTAAGGTACGTGATAGTCAGCATCCAACTTACTAATTTGCTTAGTGTCCTTCTCCCACGACAGGGAAGCACCCAGCAAGGTCCTCATTCCCATGCTAGTCAGATGAGGAGGTGGACAAAAGCCTGGGGACTGTGGGGGGAAAATGACTACAAACTAGAATACTCAGATCGAACACCTCAGGGGCAATTGCTGCTGGTCCTCTCCATCACAGACATGGACAGCTGGGGCTACAGGAAGCCCTGGGCCAGGGCTTTGCCCAAGGTTGTCCAGGAAAGGTTTTCCCAAAATACTTAGAGGTTGCCTGCCTCAGAAAGCACTGACTTTGACACCAAGTAAATCTCTCACCATCAGAAAGACACTTCCACTTGCAGTGGACCTTGGTCCTGCCTGAAGCATGCCAAGAGCTCCTCTGGAATCACATACACACACACACACACACACACACACACACACACACACACACACACACACACACACACTTTTACCATTTCCCCCAGCCGGTGTGGTCCAATCCCATCCCTGTATCACAGCAGTGATGGCCGGAGCAGTAGCCTTAACACAAATCTTTTACCAGGCTCAGCACTCAATTAGCTCATGTGGCACGTGGTCAGACCCCCTGGAGGCCCCAAGAGAGAGCTCATTACAAGCGATGGCACATCTGTGCCTGAGAGGCCCTGGGGAATTAGCTCCGCACTGTGATTTACGGCCTCTTCTCTTTGTCCTTCCCTGAAGGAGACAAGATTGTTGGACCCCCAGAGAAGAGTGCACCTTGGGTGGCATGTGGCTGTCTCCTGGAAAGCCTTAGCAACCTCCTGGCCTCAACAGTCCCATAGCAAGTCCCCCTTGCTCCTAGGGCAGGCCCTCCTGTGACTTAGGCAGTTCGGCTCCTTGGCCCCCACTTTGCCTCCCACTCTGGTTTCCAGCACCCCGGAGAGGGTGGGGAGTCCTGCTGCCCGGCTGGCTTGGATACAGCTGTGGAAGAGACTGGCTGCCCAAAGCCAGAGGAGAGGGGGCTGGCCCAGGAGATAAGGTCAGGGCTCAGATTTGTTTGGAACAGAACACCTCATCGAACACCACACCCATGAGCAGCCGACTGCCACCTCGGCAGGAGTATCCAGTGCCTTCCACCGCTGTGATTTGTGGAAAAGTACCTGACTCTCATGTGTGGCCCTGTGGACCTTCCTCTTCCACAGCTGTATCCGAAGATGTGTCCACCTTCCCGCTCTCTGTGGCTGTCCGACCATCTGCCCCCTTGGTCATTGTTCAGGTCGTGGCCTGGACCATTCTAGCATCCTAGGCATCGTAATGAGGTAGTCCTGAGGTCACTGCAGCCTCTTCCCTCATCCAATGCCTGGCAGGGCAAAGCTAACTCCCCAGCACAGTCAGTTGCCCCCTTTGAGGTCATCCCATGTATGGGCAAGCAGGGATCTATGAACACATCTGTGAATCTGTGAATCTCTGGGAAGCCGGGGAGACAGAGAACATCCCTTCTTGCACTCGTATGCCAGCTCTCAGAGGCTCTTCACACACCCCGCCTTGGAGAGGAAGGGCCGTTTCTTCTCTCAGAACCTCAGTGAAGCATGGGAAAGAACTTCCCAGTCCAAGGTTCCCTCCTCACCCCTCCTTCTGGAGATGCCGCTCCTGACAGCCTGGATTGGCCTTAATACCCAGAGAGCTATAGGAAGACAGGCTTGGGATAGAGACCAACACCTCTTACAGTTCGTGTGGCTGGAAGAATGAGCCACAGGCCACAGGTGCTGCAGAACAGGCTCCTGGCTGCTGCTGGCAGCGTTTTCCTCCAGAGAAGGTAGAGTCAGTCCAGCCGAATCATGAGAGCAACTGGATGGCAAACTCTTCAGTTCATTCCATTTCCCTGGAAGCAGCTATATATGTCAAAGCAAAGGGCTTGTAAAGAAGAAGAGAACCTGAGTGAGGCGGTGGGATGGAGCGCAGGGTGGGGCTCACGGGGCAGAAGATGCCTGGCCAGGTTCAGCAGAGCTGGGGAAAGAACAAGGGACCCCGACCTCTATGGCCAATCTCAGGGGCTCACCCTTCGCTCACACCTGGACCCCTCCAGCCCTCTCCACTCCTTGGGTGGTTTCCTGAAAGAGGCAGAGGGCAGACTTCCATCCTGCCTCTGACCCTCTTTCTAGCCCACCTTCAGCTTCCTGCTGTTCTTAGTCCCAGAGCCACCTGTGTGCTGTTCCAGTGAGCGAGCAGAGGCCTGCCTCAGTGCTCCCTTCCTGGCCCAGCTGTGTAGTAGGCCTTTTGCTGGGGAGTGCTCCTCCCTGTTCCCCATCCTCTTCCCCTGTTCCGCATCCTCTTCCTCACTTCCTTTCTTACCAGCTGTTAGGAGCAGGAAGGTCTCAAATGAAGCCTCCACATACTGTTCTGTTTTTGTTTAGAGACAGTGTCGTCTTTGTAGTTCTAGCCCTGGTGAGCCTTGAACTCACAAAGATGCACCTACCTCTGCCTCCTGGCTGCTGAGATTAAAGGGATGGACTACCACCTAGCTTCTGGAACCCTTTGGAACCCACTGCTCTGGCATATGTTTTGGTTATTTAATCACCTTTTTTCAGTCCCAGAGGACACAGAACATGGGCCCTTTATTCACAAGGGACCTGGAGTGGGCAGTACGGCCCCCAGCCTGGTCCACACTGACCTCCACCGGAAAGGGAGTCAAGGCAGGTGGCAGCAATTGAGCAGGTGGGCGATGAAAGGGAAAGGCCCCTGCCTCAGGACCCGCACCTCCTCCCTCTGGTCAATACCCTCCTCCCAGTACAGGATCCTCCCTGGCCAGGCCTGCGGTCTACAACACCCTTAGTCCTCTGCTGCCGCAGTGGGGGGTAGGACACTAGAGGGCGCTGGAGAAAGGGGCGCCCATTTTCTCATTTTGCTGGCTTTAAGCAGTCCCAGAGCATCCTTGTGGGCCTCTTCAAAAGTCCTAGAGATAGTGAAGGGCGGGTTCCAGCTTAGGGAATCCTTCAGGGCGTTTGTACCCCACCCTTTCCCTTTTATCCCCAGGCGGGTGAGTGCTGTCAGAAGTTCATCAGCTGTATTGACTCAGCGATTCCCCCCTCCTCACACCGGTGAAAGCACCTGATTCCCCCCTCCTCACACCGGCGAAAGCACCCCAGCCCTAAGCCTAGAAGCCTGCTTGCTGAGGCACTCACAGACATTTTGGGAAGTGTTCACACCCGTGCAAAGAACAAAGGTCAGAATGCGCGAGCCCAGGGCAGGACAGCCAGCGGCCGCCTCCACCAGCAGCTCTAGTCAACCCTTCCAGGCTGGGGTCTCACCGGCGCGTCTGACTTTCTTAAGGTGCAGTGTCCATAGTGTCTGGGCGCCTCTCATGCTTGCCAAGTCACTGTGACAATTGTTCCCTTCCACGAGCCCTCTCTGACAAGGCAGCCTCCGGGAGACACCCTTCCACTCTAGGTGGGTTGCCTATTCTCCACGCCCGCCCGCACTGCTTCCTAAGTTCCATTCCCTAACTAAGTTCCCTGTAGTGGGAAGGGGACCTGGAAGCTGTAGTTAGCTACCTTCAGGGCACTCACCCAAGACAGGGCCACTGGGCACACAACAGATATAAGTAGACTAAGTGCCCTAAGTGCCGAATGGCAAACAGTTTTCCAACCGGAGCTAAGTTTGCGCCGAAAGAGCCTACAGTCTCCCTCATCAGACATTTTCTTCAAGACCGGGAGATGGCGAACCTCTCCATAGCCACAAGGAAGGAGCCCCCGGGGATCGCATCTCCGTGGGCGGGCTGAAGGCTCCAGCGCCTTCTGACCGGTTGGTGTGCGCGAGGGGTGGGGACTGGGGGGGATGGGCAATCACCCTTGGCCCAACCCACAGGGCACAACCTGGGGGTACAGGAGGAGCTCCTGCAGGTGGGAACTCTGTGGGAAGGAGACAGTTTAGCCCCTCTATTCTGGCCGGCTGCGCTGGGGGAAGATTTTGTGCCCAGCCTCTTCAGGGGTAAGAAGTGCCCTCCCGCCCACCCCCGCCCCCACCCCCGCCCCGCGCCCGGATGCGCTAGGTAGGACAGAGCGCCTGCAGAGAGCGATGCAACTCACTCCAGCCCTCAACCCGTACTCCAGCTTCATTCATGCGGCACACTGGCCTCACCGCACCCGGAGTCTGTGATCCTAGGGAGAGCAATGCAATGTGTATCCAGACAGAGCGCAGGTTTCGGACCCAGTGGAGTGGGCCGGGAGGCGTACACAGATTCAGGCCGCTGCATCTTTCTATTCCCAGCTTTAACGAGGCTGGGACAGGCCTACGAGAAAATCCAGAGTACAAGAGTGGAACTGCCGCACTCTTCTTGCCTCACAGCCGGGGCTCCGCGAGCATGCGAAAGGCCAGGGCACACCAGCCCTGTCTCGCGGTGCACCTCCCTGAGCACTTCTTTTCCGAGGATCCGTGCTATTCCTAGCCCGCTCCTATGTCCAGGGTCGGCTTAGAGTAGGGTAGGAGGTTTCAGCACCTCCCACTAGACCCGCCCGGCATTCTCCCGCCCCACCCTCATGCTGCTCTCAGCTCTGGATCCCTCTTCGCAAGAGCTCGAGTCTCTGGGCTCCCTCGTGGTCTCCTGCGAGCCCAGGAAAGTCCACACTCGACCATGGCGGGTCCTTCCGATGGCCAGATCCTCGGAGCGCATCGCGATCGTAATCAAAGTGGAGCGAAAGCGAGCCAAAGCGCTGGTCTAAAGGCTGAGTACCATCAGCAGCCAGGGGTCCAGAGGGCCGTGTGCTCCGCGCTGGAGGGAACTCAGCTCCCGCTGATCGCTGGCGGCGCCCAATCCGATCCTGAGAGTGCAGATTGAGCCTAGGAAGCCAGTACACTGAAACCTCTAGGCGCTAGGGGCCACCCGAATTTGGGTGAGGATCCCACGCTCCAGGTCTTTCACAAGTCAAGGGCGACCACAGAACTTATTTTCAGTTCCCGCCATAAAATGGCGTTCCAAGCCTTGACCTGTTGGAGACCCGTGGCGTCAAGACCCGGACACTAACTGTAAAAAAACGAAAATGAACTTCTAAGAGGACCAGCGGGAATGGACGTTGAGGTCCCTACATGGAGCCACTCTGAACACTTTCTTCCATGACACAAAAACCCCGGAGACCAGGGCAAAAAGGGAAAGTCGTTATTAACAAGCTGCTCCACAAAGGCACAGGACCTCTGCCTAGATCCCCAGGACAGGAAACAGTCGGTTCTGTTTCCACAGGTTGTATCACAATCACTAGGTATTACAAGGTTAACCAGAAGCACCACCCAAGAGAAGGAAAGTGCCTGCGTGCAACCTTCTCACAGCCCGCCCTGTCCGCTCTAGCCCACCACAATTTCAGTTAACCCTTCAGCAATTCTATGGAGCGAGAGGCCGCTGTGCTAGAAAAGAAATCAGGGCCAAGTGGACCCCTTAGGTCAGTCTATAGCCGGTACTCTGCCCTCTAGACTGCAAGCGCACACCTATCTTAAGTCACTGAATGTGGTGATCTTTTCGTCTTGGACCTTGAATTCCGAGGCCGCTGCATCCTGGGCCTCACTGCCTAAGCTCTGCTCGCTGGAAAGCCGCGGGCAGGTGAATCCTGGCCCTGGGTCTCAAAGTAACCTCCCAGATGAATGCCTAATAATCAGAAATCCTCTTCCCAATACCCCATCCAACTTCAACGAGTTCGGAACCGCGGGGCTGGGCAACTTATTCTAACAGGCATGTGCGTAGTACCAGGACCACCAGCCTTGCCCGGACATTGCCTGGAGCCAATTGTCAGTTGAGGGATTTTGGTAGATCCGAGAGAGCCAAATCTAGCCATTTGCTCACTAGACTCCACCCTTTTGTGTTCAAGAAAATGATACCCACAAGTTCACTCCAGCAGGCACCACCACAAGCTGGGAGGCTAAAAAGCCATAATACGGGGCTTGGGCCCTGGTCCGGCATGGAGCCAGCCCCCTGGCCCGTGGTGTCCAGCCTTCCCAGGCTCTTCCCTGAACTGGGCATACTGAGCTTGCGGAGTGGATCTTGAAATCTACATTCTTTCGGTCGATAAAATATGTTCTCGTATTTTTTCCTGATTTTCTCATTAAAACCTTTGCCTAACTAAACTCCCATCCAACGGGATTTATTTCATCTCTGGGGAGATAAATCAGGGGGCAAATTTACAGCCCCGGAGGCACCTGCCGCGCTAATGGGCCCTTCATGGAGTGCATGGCCCGCTGGGGCGCGCGCAGACGGGCGGGACGTTGGCCAATGGCCTGGTCGCCAGTGCCTATAGCCAATCAGCGCGCGCGCCGCGCCCAGGCCCCGCGGTTATCAGTGCGTCCGTCCCGCGCGGCGCCGCTCCGACCGGCCCCGGAGCAGCCACCACCACCGCCGATCCTAGTATCCCTGCCTTCTCTCTGACCGCTGCCCATTCCGTGCAGTAGCCATCGGTCCTTCCGCTTTCCTGCGGGGGCCGTCGGCGTCCGTCTGAACGCGTTCCACGCGTCCCAGTGCAGCTGGCGCCCGTCGGTGCCGCGCTCAAACTTCCCGAGTCGGAGGGCGCGGGTGGTGGCAGCGGGGCCCGGATGGGAGCCCGGGTCGGCGGCGGCGGCGCCCATGGACGCTAACCGGCCGGGCGCGTTTGTGCTGAGCAGCGCGCCGCTGGCCGCGCTGCACAACATGGCTGAGATGAAGACGTCGCTGTTCCCCTACGCGCTGCAGGGCCCGGCCGGCTTCAAGGCGCCCGCCCTAGGCAGCCTTGGCGCGCAGTTGCCTCTAGGCACTCCGCACGGCATCAGCGACATCCTGGGACGGCCGGTCGGCGCAGCGGGTGGCGGCCTCCTGGGAGGCCTGCCCCGCCTCAACGGGCTCGCCTCGTCTGCAGGTGTCTACTTCGGGCCCGCGGCAGCCGTGGCACGGGGCTACCCCAAACCGCTGGCGGAATTGCCTGGGCGCCCGCCCATCTTCTGGCCGGGAGTGGTGCAGGGCTCTCCCTGGAGGGACCCACGCCTGGCCGGCTCGGGTAAGTGACCCGCGCGGGATGCGGTGAGGAGCGGGGCTGGGCGCGGGCCGCGGACTGCGCTCACCGGCTCTTCTTCGCAGCCCAAGCCGGCGGGATCCTGGACAAGGATGGCAAGAAGAAACACTCGCGGCCGACTTTCTCGGGCCAGCAGATCTTCGCGCTGGAGAAGACTTTCGAGCAGACCAAGTACCTGGCAGGCCCAGAGCGCGCGCGGCTTGCCTACTCTTTGGGAATGACCGAGAGCCAGGTGAAGGTGAGCTCGAATGGGCCGGGGTCCAGCAGTATTGACGCGGGCCCAGAGCCCGCGTCCTGCGAACAGCGGGAAAGCGGCCATTCGGCTGCTACCGGACCGCGGAAAGCACTGGTGCCAGGCGGGTCCAGAGTGCTGGTCTGGTGTGGCGAGCCTCGGTGCCCGCCTGATGGTCCCTCCCCAACCCCCCAGGTGTGGTTCCAGAACCGGCGGACCAAGTGGCGCAAGCGGCACGCGGCAGAGATGGCGTCGGCTAAAAAGAAGCAGGACTCGGATGCCGAGAAGCTGAAGGTGGGTGGCTCGGACGCGGAGGACGATGACGAGTACAACCGGCCCCTGGACCCCAACTCCGACGACGAGAAGATCACGCGGCTTCTGAAAAAGCACAAACCCTCGAACTTGGCGCTGGTTAGCCCGTGCGGCGGCAGCGCGGGGGACGCCTTGTGAGGACGAGGCCAGGCCAGAGAACCCAGGAACCGGGGCGCGCGGCATGCCCCGACGCCAGCCGCCCAGCCGCAGTGTGTATATATATTTTTACAGAATAAGTTATAAAGCGGACATTGGCGCGGCCTCGGCGTGAGGCGCGGAGCGCGGGGTTTGGGCCGGTCACTTTGTATAATCAATAAATTATTTAACACGTCCCCGTCGGAGCCGTGGCTCCCAAGGCTGCACATCGTGTTTCTTCCTTACGGAGCTGGCGCCAGCGGGCGGGCAGGCAGCAGCACCCTCCAGACCCCACCTAGCCTGTTCCCCCTGTGGGCGCCAGGGCCTGGCGCAGGGGGGCGCGACCGTGCTTGATGACGACCCGGGCCCGTGTGCGCGTTGGGTTCAGAGGCTGAGCGCATGGTGATGGTCCCAGAGCGCCCGCACGGTGATGGCAGCTTACAAGAGCACGGAAGTGGTGAGACTTGAGCGTCTGGAGCCCAGGCCGAGCAAAGGCAGTTTCCACCGCCCTGGGAAGGGAAGGACACCACAGTGTAGTGCTTGAAGGAGCGGGACCAGCAGGGAACTCGGTGGAAGAGACCCCAGGTATGATTTCCATTTCCCGTGGCCAGAGACATGGCATCCCATCCGCTGCACCCCTACCGGAGATGTACAGTGCTGGGTGTCCTTGACTCAAATGAATGAAGTTGGGGCAGACATTAACTAAACCACACTTGAAGGGGCCCAAAGTCCAGCAAGGCTTGTCCCCATTGCAAGCAGTGGGCACCCTCGCGCTTTTTTTTTTTTTTTTTTAATTTCTTTTTTTGTAAGCTGGGGCAATGAGTGTGCCCTGTTATTTAGTGCCCTTGTTCGGGCCAAATCAGCACTGTCTCAAAGCGTGGGCTGCGTTCTGTCACAAGTATTTCATAATAATTACCCCCGTTTAGCCAGAATTCCAGGTATTTTGAATATATTACTTAATAAACTCCAGCTGTGGGTAATAGGGCTCTGTACCCTGCTGGGCCCCAGGCTACCAGTGTTAACAGACTTTCCTTGGGAGAAAGCACGGTTTTAAGCAGGGCTGCAGAGATGCTGTGAGAATCCTGCCCCATAGCTCACAGCCTTCAGCCTGTCAGCAGCCCTGACACCCACCACAGGTTTCTCAGAGGGCCCTCAACTAGGGTCACTTCTGCCCAGCAGCCCACCACTGTCACTCCTACCTGAGCTAGCGCATCTGTAAGACCAGTGGCTCATGCTCAGCCAGGGAAGAGCCTGCACCCACTTCGCCCGAGGACCTTTCAGGGCTACAATTCCCTGTAGTGGAAAAACCCATCTTCAGCTTCAGCCTCCTCCACGCTCCACAGCTGCACCTTAATGTACTGAACGTTAAGTGTGGAATTTCAGCACAAGCTAATCATTTCTATTGTAGGGCATTTAAAAATACTTATTAGAACCATGAAAAGCTTTTCTTTTGTTTTGCCTTTTGTGATGTGGCTCCATCAACTAAAGTCAAACGCTTCTTTCGATCCACGGGCTGGCTTTCTTTAAAAGGGAGCAGCATTTTTTTTTTCTTTCTTAAATGGGGCAGTGTGTTGTTTGTGTGTTGCTTCTCGGCCAAAGTTCAGAGCAGAGAAATTTTGTTGAAGGTTTTGTTCAAAGCAAAAGAACAGCATTTGTATAATTCCATTTAAAATAGTGAGGGGCCAGCCTTTTTACACTACAGTAAAAAGTCCAAGAGGTGATTTTTCTGAGAGCTTGGTGCCCTGTGGCAGAATGGACATTGAAATTCCCAGAATCAGAATGGGGCAGAGCAACCCGGGCACAAAGGAGGCCACTCCCGGGCACTTAGCATTTCAAAGGCATGGGAGACTGAAGCAAGAGACAGAGCAGCAGGAACTGTTTTCACCATGATCAATTTTATTGCTTAGGAACCGAGCAGTCACTTCCAGAGGCCTTCGGAGGAAGGACCCACAGCTGGAACCCACAGACAACCGCTGCGGACATGGCACATTGGCAAGCAGCGACCATGGCAGTCACAGACCCGACCCTGGCATCAAGGACACAGGCCGGCCTTCGGTGATTTCTAGGGAAACCGACATTAACTCGCGCCTCCGCCCCATCCAGGAACTGTAGTGTTCAGAAGTAAATCAATAAAAGCACGCTGTGTTTCCTCAGCAGGCTCCGCAGGCGCCTTCCGTGGTACTCAGTGCTGGGTGCGAGTAAGGGCAACAGGTTGTGCCCGGCATCACCCATCGCTTCTCTGCCACGTTTACACACAGCCCATGCTAGAAGCGATCTGTGGGAAGTGGACGAGGCTACTTCTAATTCTCCCACGAGATTATGGTTTTAATGTAGGATACTTGGCACCATAAAACGGTAACAAAAGACAGACAAAACGGTTTACAAAATTCTTAAAAGGTACACCCAGGCTAGCTATCAACTTCACATTCAGTTCTTAATATTACACAGAAAAAGGCAGAAGAGTGACGAGCTGCTAGTCCAGGCATGCCGCAGGGGCCCCTCTCCCCTGGGCACTTGCTAGGTCTTGTCTCAGGAACCTGTGCTGACTGCTGATGGACTCACCATTCAACTAGACTGCGGTTCTGCCTGCTCAGGACACTCGTGCACTCATACTGGAAAGTATATTCAGCATAAGTTTTGGTAAGATTTATAAATTATTTTTAAAAAGTATATATTTATATGTATTTATATATATAAAAATGGAAAGCAGCTGCAGTGTGATTCAGACGCCATGTAACATGGCAGTAGAGTCAGACCTCGGGGCCTCGGGCTTGAGCACACACGGCAGCCTTGCTGCCTGGGCTGGTGCCCGGCACACTCCTCCTGGCAGAGAGGGACGCTGGACACCTGGGGCTCTAAATGGAGAAGCTTCCTCCACAGACAATCGTTAAAAATGGAAAACTGTGAAGTCTAAAATACAGGCGCTCGGCTGTCTGTTAGAGTTTTGGCAATAGGACTGTGGCTTGATTAAACCCAATATGTCTACAATGTCACGTGACAGACACGACAGTGAGGTATGTGAGGCTTTCCGGAGGTCCGGAGGCTGAAGCGAAGTGTGGGGCCGGCCGTCTAGCAGGTGATGCTTGGGCGGGTTCCGATGCAGCTGTTAGGAGGATGAGTTCGATACACTGCTACAGGGAGGTCTCTCGAGGATCCTCTCATGGCGCTGGCACCTCTTCCCTGGAGTGGAATTAGTAATTTGTTAAAGGATCAAACACACCGGGAAAGCTGCAGAAAGGAGAGCAAGGAGGAGCCATATTTACCACCACGTCACTGCACGACACAACACTTGTGCACATGGGCGTGAGGTTTACCTGCCCCAGGTGCGATTCGGAAGGCCAGGAACACCGGCTGCAGTGGGAGAAAAGGGAGAGGTCAGCATGTACAGGCTGCAGCCCTCCGCCCCTGGCTGGACTCGGCCCTCATGTCTCCTGAGTATCTGGAACTGAGTCCAGAGGAGATGAAGGCAGTCGTGCGTACAAAGCAGGAATTGAGACAGTTAGCTTGGACCTGGGAGCTGAGAGCTGGGCCATGAAAGGAGCCACACAACCCCTTTCTGCTTATGAGGAGGATAGGTTCCAGATTGGAATCAGTGTGAGGGACTATGGAGTACGTTCTAAATGCAGAGGAATGTATGCACCCATGACTAGGGCATGCAGTGTCCTACCTCAGAGCACGTGGATACGGAGGATGTGGACTTGTCTAATGTGGCTGAGATTTCTCACCTGGCCTCAGTGTCACTGGGGATGGTGGGCCACTCTGGGTTCAGGGATAGCCACACTTGGGAAGTCAATGGGTCAGAGGGTCAATGCACATACACCTGGTCTGTGAGACATGCATTACCACATTCTGACAGGAGTGAGCTCAGCATGGGAAGGCCAGGAACATAGTCCCAATGTAGACTCAAGAAGCAGCCTTCAATCATAACCAGCTGGTGACATGATGTTTTTACACACAGTGAGATTATCTTCTGTTATGACTGATCATTTCTTCTCCTGCTTACTCATCCACACATCCTTTGGTATTTTATTAAAACTCAATTAACTAGATTAACTTTGTTTGCTTGGTAAAGCCAGACTAAAGGAGATGATATGATGCCCCCCTGCCCCCGACAGGGGTTCAGCCCCCGGACCCCAGCAACACACTGCGACATCACCTTGTGGTCTCCCATGCAGACATTAGGCCCGATGTGGTCGTAGGTGGCAACTTTCTCCTCGCTCTCTGACTGGAAGCAAACAGAGAGAGGGGTGTGTAGGAAAGCTGAGACAATCTGCAGTCCTGCCTGGAGGGGACAGGCAGGGGCTTTGGGGTAGCCTTGGGATCAGAGAAGGGAGGGGCTGTTGCAGGAAGACCTTGGGGGCTGTGCTACACCTCAGCATGTGGCTGGCTCTTCTTCCAGAGAGGAATCCTGCCTCAGAGAGGGGTGGCAGGTCAGCCTAGCAGTTGGGAGTCCCCGAGGTCTCTTCTGCCGGTCCACTGGCCGGCACAGAACCCCTAGCCCTGTAATTAGGGCCACTCAGAGCTTCCTTTCTAAGGGTGTGTCCTTATCTGAGTAGCTCATCTGTTTCCCATTTTCCCTATTTACACTTGCTTCTGCAAGCCTGCTTTATTAACCTAGAGCACGCCGTCCAAGGCCACGTATGCATATTAATTGACTGTTCCCTGTACTTCCTGGCAGACCCTTGGCTTTGGGTTTGAAGGCAGAGGTTTTGTCAATGCTAATCAGTCAGTCAACTCTGACCAGGCTGGAGTTTTATACCCGCAGCTGAAGCATCTACAACGATAAAGTTAAAACTGACTTATCTTTAATGCAGTAGGAAGCTTAAGGTCAGATTTACTTTCCAGCACGGTTGCCTGCCAGAAAGTATGAAAACATAACCTTCAGCACCGCATGCATGAACACTCGCCCATCTTTCAGGCTCATGTGGCCGACTCCTCAGAAGTGGAGAAACATCCATCAAATGCTGCATGGTAATTTACAAAGGCAGCATAAAATCGTGGGTTTTCAGCTGCATAATCTTTGGACAGATAAACAAATGACAGAGGGTCTCAGACAGGATGCAGGCACACCTCACTGAGCATTCGTCACCGAGGCTCCCCGGCACCATGCCGCTTGGCGTTTTAGGGTTCAGGAAGCAGAACAGAACATGATGAGGGCACCAGCGCATGGCATGATGGATGGTACCGGGGAGGCGGCCTGAGGCACTCTGGAGGTAGCTTACTGTGAGCCCCAGAGACTCCAGTCCCTGCAGGCAGAAGCTCTCCTAAGATCTTTATTGTCAGTTAGATAAAGGGCAGAGCTTGGTCTGCCCCCGTGACTTTGAAGTATGAATCCTGGGTCTGGAGACCCAGAGACGTGAGCGCATGGAAACGGGTTCCACTGCTGCCTTCCTGAAGCTGTGCATAGCACCCTGCATGACCTCCCAGGTTCCTGGCAGCTTTCTGATCACTAATCAAAGTGCACTTATCTTAGGGACCTTCCCACAAGGTGCACTTTGATGATCTTAACTGTTTTCTCGGTGGATGACATCAGTTTCTTCTGTCCACCTCAGTCCCATGGAGAGGCTGAGGCTGCCACTGTGGCAAACTGGGAGGCTCTAATTCTTGTACTTCTATCTCAAGGGAGCCCATGAGTAGGCCCAGGTCACAGGTAATGTAGCTGCAGGTTGCCGAGTGGCCTTTCCTCAGAGATGGCCCTGGGTCATTGGGCACACTGCGGCATAGGCCCCACTCATGAGGCTAGAAGGCTGCTGCAGATCCAAGAAGCTTCTGGCCAACACCCTTCCTCAGTTCCAGCATACCTGCCTGCAAACTCCTCTCCATGGCCAGGGCCTGAACACCAGCTGCACCCAGTCTGTTCACCCAGGAGTGGTGAAAAGCCTGGGATCTGGAGGACAGTGGTACACAGCAAAGGCCAGCAGAGCCTCAGGTAGAGGACGGCAGGGCTGTCCCACAAGCTGGGGGAGGGTTGCTTGAGGAGCACAAGTGTGGGGGTGGGTGTTTGGCACAGGGGCAGCCAGTGGCAGCTCACAGGGTCTACAGTGCAATCTAGCAGCACAGTGGAGGTGGGAATCCATGAGGGGCTCCTCCCTCCCCGGCACAGGACTCTGGCAGGAGGGATGGAGCAGTGGAGCACACCCCCCCTCCCCCCAGCCCACTGGAGGCTTCTCTCACTGCCTCCTCACAAGGACCCACACCTCACTCAGTCTGACTGTGGCTCTGCATCCACTCAGCCTCCAACTGCTGTCCCGCACGAGTCTACCCTTTCCACTGTTAGATCTGCATGGATGGGGCCGAGAGCTAATTCAGATGTTGGTACTTTTCAAAACATGCAATTTACATGTAAAATATGGAAACGAAAAGTAGTAGGAAATCTGAAAACCCTCCCTATCTGTGACTTGAGCACATTACCCCTCCATCCTGATCCTGCTGAGCCCAGCTGCAAACTGTTTTTGCTTTACATAACCTATGAACCCCCACAAGAACACAAAACACCATGCAATAAATTATGGTTAGTCCCTGCTCTGAGCAGGGTCTTTGTGCTTCTATTCAGATGACAGTGGCACCCACAGGGGCCTGAGTGCCAGCTGAGAGGTGGCTAAGCACTTCCCTTCCACTCATCTTACAATCCACTGAATGCCACTCAAGTGTCCCCAGGCTGGGTACTCCTTCTTCATGGCTAGCCCAGGGCTCCCTCTTACCTTAAGAACCAGCTCCTTGGCAGACAGGGACATGAGGATTCGATCACACCATGCAGGGCATCTTGTGTTCATATACTGCTCTCCCTGGCTGGAGTCCTCACTGTACGGGTAGCTGTGAAGACACAGGAACAAAGTGTCAACTGCACTCTGGTCCCAGAAATCCTCCAAGTTCTGAAGGGAAGGGTGTGTTGCTATCCAGGAAAAAGTGCACACAGTGAGGTTTCTAGAATATAAAGCCAAACTTGAAACCCAAGTGTCCCCATCAAACTTAGTTCTCCCTGCATATACCTATATATAGATTGTGTGGGTCAGGCTGGCTGCTTCCTATATTATACCCCTTACTCACACAGAGGCCTTGGCACTCATGGCCTGAACCTTGTGGAGAGGCCACCTACCTCCTGTACCTGCCACCCAGGGGACCTATCAATTCACCATAGCTGTAAAACAATACCCACCCACCCCCAACACACACACATGGGGACACTTGCTGGACTGCACTGCAGAATGAATTCCATGTAGAACTGGCTGGAGAAGAGAAGAGAAAGAGCCTTTCCCAGAATTTAGCTGGCCCAGGTGTTTGCATATTCACTCTCTACATGGTTTTCAGACCATTAAGACTCTCTTTTCAAAGTGCAGAATGTTTTCTCAGGTCAATTTCAGAGCACCAGGCTTATGCTCAAATGTTCCTGTTGACTTCAGCTAAGAAGAGAATGTGACTGTGGCTGTCAGGCCACTTACCAGTTGGTGATTGTGGGAAGGGGCGTATGCTACCAGCAGGCCTGACCCACTTCCACTACTCTAAGGGAGCGTAGGAGCTAATATATCCCTGGAATTCAACCATCTAAAGCTGGAAGATGCTGCAGGAGGCATGTATTCTTCGTAGAAACCATGGCTTGTGATCTTTGTCTTTTGTAGGAATTACCACTTTACCTGATTAAATTGATCTCAAATTAGGCTAAAAACAAAGTCTATGTAATTCCTGCACACTATACCATTTTAAAGAACATAAAATTTCCCACACTTTTCTTTTTTCGGGAAGAGCAAAAGGCCAATGGCCAATCCCATTTCAGTACATCACAGTGACAATGACCTTGTTCAAGTGCTCCTCAGTCCACCCAAGACATAGGCTGAGTCAGAGGAACATCTTACTGTGAGCACACACATTAACACGGCCACCCCAAGCAGTGTTGTGAACTGCAAAATGAACTACATGGTCTTCCTGGCTTCCATGATAGTGAACAAACATGGTGGTCTCTTTCAAAGGGAGAAAGCCTCACAGTGAGTATAACCAGTGTGGTGGAGGCTGGAATGAGAAAAGCAAGGGCCCAGCCAGCATGGGACTGATAAAGCCACAGGGCTGTGTGGCTGAATCCTCCTCTTGTGGCTCTATTGTAACAAGAAGCTTACTGCTTTAACCAGATGCAGGGCATCATGACTCAAGGCCCCTCTCCAACTTGCACATGCACTGTAATGAGTCTCCATGGAAACAGAACACTCACTCACTGGCCATCCCAGTGGTCCAGCAGGGTGCTGGTCAGCTGGTTCTTCTACATGGGCTATGTGGATTCAGGAGTGAGGCCTCAGCAGGCAGAGTACTTTTGTTTGTGCCTACTGCCATAGTCTGGCCTTGGCACTTTCTTCAGAGGAGAGGTTCAGTGTTCAGCTAAACGTCTAACAGTAGCCCAGTGATGCTCAACTTAAAAGGCATCACTGGGAGGTGCCAACTTGGAAAGAGGATTGAACCAAGCATGCTATCAGTTTAAAATAAAAACTAAAATTATTTACTAATATGGGTCATATGCAATAGTGTTTGTGTGTTTAGGCCAGAGGACAACTTGTGAGAGTTGGTTCTCTATCATGCAGGTCCTGGGAATTGAATTCAGGTCACCAAGCTTGGCAGCAAGTGCTCTTACCTGCTCAGTCATTTCACTGGCCCTCTTAGTTTTTTTTTTTTTTCTTTTTTGTTTTGATTTGTTTTGTTTTTGAGGCAGGGTCTCCTGTATCCCAGGGTGCCCTTAAACTGCATAGTCAAGGATGACCTTGACCTCCTGCCTGTACCTCCCAAGTGTTGGAATTACAAGTGTCCATCACCATGCTTTGTACTTAGCATGCTCTTAGAAGTCATCATCTCATGTCTGCTAACAGTTCTGACACTTTTTTTTTTTTTT